AAATTCACATCTATGTTGCTCCTTGTTATACAGAAAGGGTATAAGTGGGGATAAGGGGATAATAAGGAAGTATATGTTCTGAGGTTTAAAAAAATATGAATTATGCTATTTTCAAAATACAATAAGTGAAAATACAAATATAAAAAAGGGACAAAATATACTTGGCTAGATCTAATGATAACTTTGATCACATTACAAGCAGTCGTACAATGCACTACATTGGTATTAAGATTTAATTTGATTGTAAGGGCTTAAGACAGGTATGATGAATACTTCTGAATGGTTACATGATAAACTAAAATAAATATGACTTTTAGGAAAGGATGAAGACTTTTTAGGAATGTTTTAGTCCTAGAAATTCATCAAGGGTATGTAACCAGTGTAAATACAGACTTTTCACCAGATTCCCATTGTCAAAAGTGAGGGCATCCTGTGAATTAGATAAATTTAATAAAACAGTGCATTCATTCAGTAAATATTTGAATTCCTCTTAATACTAGGTGGCAATATTAGGTAGAGTCTGGGTATATTAATGATTAAAATAGAAATATCCTGTACTCTAAGGAGGTCTAGTTTGGTAGAGACAAAAGACTATGGTATGCCAAATAGACTACAATAGTATGTGGGATCAGCTATGAAACATAAAGGAGAAAGTAAAAATTCTGTTCAAAGGCCATCCCCAAAAAAGTTGAACTAAATTTTGAATGAACAGGAATCCAGCACAAGAATTGGGAAAAAGCACAAATTAAGAAGAACATTCACAGTGTGTGCAAGGACAGAGGCCAGAGCTCAGAGAACTGCAAACAGCATTGCATGAACTAAAGATATGAACCTAGGAAAGAGGAACTACGTTGTGGTGGCTCTCGTATGTGCTGCTATTGAGGTTGGTGTTTATTCTGTACATACATGAGAACTACAAAGGATTTCAAGCAAAAGAGACATATAATCAGATTAGCCTGATGGAAAAGGTCTTTTTAGCACTTGTGTAAAAGAGGTGATGGAGTAAGAAAAGGGAATAGAGTTAGGCAGACTAGATAACAAGTAACCAATGCTCTTGGATAAGGATGTTAAGGGCTTGATTAAAAGCACAGAAAAGAGCAAGGGAATAAGACATGAAGGTTATTAAGAAGAGAGAAAAGGTACAACTTGGTGACTAACTGGCTAAAAAGTGTGAAATCATTAACCATGATTCTTGTGCTTTATGCTTATGGTTGATAATACTGGCATTTAAGAAGATAGTATACTTTTACCAGAGAAGTGGATTAATCCAGTTTCTGAACATGTTGCGTTTAAAGCATTTCTATTAAATATGTGAATCACAGTGTGCATGACTGTTAGAAATACAAATCTCAGGACCCATCCTAAATTTACAGAATTATACTCTGCATTTTTACAAGATTCCCAGATGACTCATATATACTTTGGTTTAAGGTATCTATGAGATCAATCAAGTGGAAATGTCCGATGGCAGTAAAAAAATATATGAGTACTGTTAACTGAAACTGAGGGAGTAGGCTATCATTCATGAGAGTAAGAAGAAGAAACTCTGAAGACAGATCTGGGCTAACAGTAACATTTGAAGTGTAAGGCAGTGATGCTAGAAAAGGAGAATACAGGCCGGGCACTGTGGCTCAAGCCTGTAATCCCAGTAGTTTGGGAGGCTGAGGCGAGAGGACTGCCTGAGCTCTGGGGTTCGAGACCAGCCTAGGCAACTTGGTGAGACCTTGTCTCTACAATAAATCAAAAAATTAGCTGGGCGTGGTAGCACATGCCTGTAGTTCTGACTACTTGGAAGGCTGAGGTGGAAGGTGCACCGGAGCCTAGCAGGTCGAAGCTGTGGTGGCTGTGAGTGTGCCGCTGCTCTCCAGCCTGGATGACAAAGTGAGATTCTGACTCAAGGAAAAAAAAAAAGAACAGAAGGATATGCTGAGAGTAGGGGGAAACTAGGGGACAATGAAGTCACTCCAGTCAAGAGAAGAGAGTTTCAAATGCTAGAGTCAAGTAAGAGTTAGTAATCAGGTAAGATGGTAAAAAGACAAGGCAGATTATAGTAGGTTGAGAAACTGCTACAGGTGAATACACAGAATTTTGCATAGAATTAGGAGAGAGAATTTTGGATATAATTATGAGCCATAATAGATATAATGATCTAAACTGCTTTGTTTAAAGATGGACAATATATGAGTATGTAAATACTTGATGGTTAACTTATTAACCAGACAGGTAATATAAGACAACAGCAACAATACCTACTATTTAATATCTTCAATGCTGGAGTAGTGCTTGATCTACAGTAAGCACTCAATAAATATTTATATAAAAAGTGAATGATTTATTCTGTATTTCCTGGTGTCAGAAGCAAGCAAAATGATTTACATATCATTACATTTAATCCTCATAACAGCCTGATAAGGTAGGTATTAACCTATTTTATCCCATCTATAACCCATTTCATACATGAGAAAATTGATGAAGATAAAGCTTAGAGTAGTATTCTTTCCAGCCAAGTTGCAATGTAGCATCATAACCTTAAGCATCCCTACCAATCAATCATTGATGGCATAAAAAGTTTAAAACCATTTGCTATCTCAGTATAGGTTGAGTATCCTTGTCAGAAATATGTGTGACCACAAGTGTTTCAAATTTCAAAATGTTTGAATACAGAATAAGATGTCTTGAGGATAGGACCCAAGTGTAAACATGAAATTAATTTGTTTCATCTACATCTTATACACATAGCTTAAAGGTAATTTTATATAACTACTTTAAATAATTCTGCACAACTGTCAAATGAAGTCAGGTGTGGAATTTTTGACTTGTGTCATGTCAGCATTCAAAAGTTTTGGATTTTGGAGCATTTTGGATTTCAGCTTTTCAGATTGTGGGGATGCTCTATCTGTATTACATTATTAATTTTCTTTTCTTGTCTGAAGTTTTATGATTCTACTACAGAGAATGGCAAATTATGGGCTAACTATGGCCTGCTTGCTTTCATTTATAATAAAGTTTTATAGGTACACAGTGATACGCATTCATCTAAGCACTGTCTACAGCTGCTTCCCTACTATAATAGCAGAGTTCAATAGCTATAACAGAGACTATGTTACCTATAAAATGGAAAATTTTTACTATGTAGCCCTTTACAGAAAGTTTGCCAAGCTCTTTACAAAATTAGAGAAAATCCAGTTTGCCTGAGCCCAGCAGGTCAAGGCTGCAGTGGCCGTGAGCATGCCACTGCAATCCAGTCTGGGTGACAGAGTGAGACTCCAACTAAAAAAAAAAAGAAAAAAAGAAAACAAAGAATATATATATATATAAAGAAAACAAAGAATATAAAGCCGTGATGACATGAAAGCATGAAAGCTAGTTTGGTATTTGTAATTACTGTAAAAATAACAATTCTTTGTGCTCTATTCTGGAATATCTTTAAGATGAAAATTCTGAAAGTGAAAATTATATAATAATGATTTTATCACAAAATATATCAACTCTTCAAGGGCTCAAAAATACTGGTATTATGCATAACAATATTAAATATGCTTATACATTATTGAATTAAACATTTTTAAAGCAAGTGTGCACTTAATTAAACACTTATATGTAGTATTAAAATTCAAGTTTTCAAAAGGAAAAGACAGTATGATAATTACTATACATAAGAAATATATATTACTATAGATATAATAAAATCTGATATCCTAATTGTGAGGGCTAATAGTATCAAAGCTACTCGAGCTTCATAAAAAGTCACAAAGGTTATTAATGAAACAAGTCACTAAACATAAATAATCAATGTAGCTAAAATGCTACTGCCAAAACTTTCTGAAAATAAGAATGATCACACTAACATTCAGAGAACTGATATAAAAATACCAAACAACTGTGGCACAATTCTGAGTTTAAGTGTTTGAGACGATGACAACGACAACAACAAAAATCACAGTAAGATCTTTTTCTCCAAGCAGTATATATATTCTGTGCTACATAAGAATATGTGCTATTTTGGCAAAGAATGCTTTTTATTAGATGTTTATCTGCTTTGGGCCTCAAAAAAAATGTCCGGAAGTCAAACTACTCTATTACATTTCTGTGCCCAAATGAACAATACTTTATTATAAACAATTCTAGTTTAGGCAATTCTATAAAATACTAAATTAGAAAAATTATCCTGCCGTTAAGTAAATAAGGCAAGAAAATCAGGGGAAAGTCAGTAAAAGTCAAAATAGAATGAGGTATATAACGTGAACATATGTACCTATTTCAGTTTTAAAAAAAAAGGGTGCTTACCTTCGGACAAGTTTAGTCTCATAAAACTGATCTTCAAAGTGACATGTGAGGCCAGAACAGAAAAGTCGAATAAATTCTAATAAAGTATAATAAAGCCTTTTTTTTGTGATGCAAAGCTCCATTACTGTTTGATGTCAACCAGAGAGCTACTCTTTCATAATTATTCTTTACCCTGTTTACCTTAAAATTCCCTGTGAAGACACACACGTCTGACTTCCTCAGTTTTGTATCCCCAAATCTATGGTGACTACTTCTCTTCCTGGGGATTTGTCATTCTGTGCAGGCCTACTCTCACTGAATGCAATTGTTCCTTAGGAGTTTTATAAAAATCAATTCACAGTTAAAATATACTATACTAGAATGGTGTTATTTAAAAGAATTACATCTGGTTAAAAAAAAGGTTCTCGTAAAATTTATACTTGGCAAAGGAAAGGCTGTTCTTTTATGAAAATAATCTCTTTATGTGTTGTATTTTGAATCTAAATTTCACATATTGTGTTTGCTAACAGTAATGACAGTAATGTAACCCAGTATTCACCAATTACCATAAAACTCCACCTCCATAAAAACAAATGTGAAAAAAAAAAATCATATGCTACTGAGACAGTATAATCCTAAAAATACTGATTCCTGGGAATAATTAATAAAGCTGTTTTTGTGAAATGTTGATTTAAAACGATTAAACAGAGTTTACTGGAGTGAATTTCGTATACCTTGGACTTGAGGGAACCTTCCCAATTTTCATCCACAGACTTCAAGAATAGCTCCTGCATACAGCTATAAAAGAAAAAAGATTAAACAATTGCTATACATTTTTAAATGTCCTCATACAACAAATATACAATTTCACAGTATAAATATTACAGTTAAATTGATACAGGGATCAAACAAATGTCAGTACTGTATACTGCATAGGCCCATATAGTACTAGTTCCACATGGAGGTCCTAAATAAATGGTAAAGGAACTTATGTCCTGTTTGGATTTTTCTTAAACCTAGCCAAAAATACCAAAGGAGATAAGGAGACTTGAAATGAACGTAAAACGTCCTAGGAAGCTCTGTACAAAATCTTCCTAGTTGTTTTAGGGTGATAAATTGAGCACAGGCATGTAGCTACCTATTCAAGATAGATAATTAAAATTTTTCTGGTTGCTTTTAACATTAAGTCATCAATGTTTTAAAATTAAAACAAACATTCAATACCTTTTAAAGTAATTGTTATAGAAAGTACTAGGTAAAGATATTATTAAAAAAGCAGTAAAATCTCATTATAAATAACTCAATGCAAATATTTTCATTTAATGAAATTCAGCTGACATGGATTAAATGGTAAATATCACTTTTCTAGCTATAGAACTTGCACATTCTCTTTATAGTAAAAGCTATTATAAAAAACTCAAATGTAAATATTTTATTGAAATAAATTGAGTTGAGATGGATTCAATGGTAAAGATCACTGTTTCTGTAGCTGTAAAGCCTGCTCATTCTTTTCATAGGGCCAGAATATACTAGGAAATGCTGTGACCACAGGGCTGGAAATATTAAGAATATACCATATCCATTTCTTCTTAGCTTTTAAATTTGTTTTTTATAGAGGCTCAAGAAATAAAGATGGATTTTTACTTTTTAGAGTTCTAAAACAGTATTTATTGAATTTTAAAAAATCACATGCACTATGCATGTTTATTTAAAATACCTTGGAAAATACAGAAAAGCACAAAATAGTGACTTAAAAGTCTCTGTAATTTGACCCCAAATTAGAATGACTTTACCATTTTAGTGATTCAAGGCTAGGTCAAGACTTTTGAAGTTTTTAAAGGTCACAGATCCTTGAGAATCTTACAGAATTTTGCTTTAATGCAGGCTGTTCATAGACTCTCTGAAACCACTGACAGATTTCAGATTCAGGACTCTGTTGGGAGCCAGCCATGGAGGCCTGCCTGAGCGTTAGGGATCCAGGCAGGCTGCGGACCCTGAGACCACCAGGCTGGTTCAGGAGCTGAAGGCCCATTCCCTCCTCCTTTCCTTGTTGTTTAGCATTACCCACTGGTAGGGATTTTAACGATCTAAGCATGAAGTTTTGAGTATATGACAGGCATGGCTGACTCTAGGGATCCATTGTTCCCGCTTCTCACAGACTGCGGTTTCGGCTTTAAACTTAACACAGTTCAAACTCAGATCACATTTGGGAGCCTTATACGTGATACAAGCTTCTTTATAAGATTTAAAAATATATTTGTAGAATTAGTATATACATTTAGAGAGCTGTTTCCAGCATGAGATGGTTATCTAGGGTTACCAGAAATGGCCCAGCATGAACTTTGGGCTGGGCCACATTCCTAAGGGCCCAGCGTCCATTTTGGACTGGGCCACATTCTTTAGGAACTGGTCTGACCTACAATTAAGAGTATTTTTATAGTACAGGTAAAGTTAGCACAGAATAGAAAGGTATTAGGATTTAAGTCAGTCATTAGGTGTTGGGTATGCATACGTCTTAGAAGTTATTGATAATTAGGATTTTATGCTATTAAAACTGTTGTATTGCTTTTGAGGAACGTAAACCAAGCATAAGGAACAGTGAGATAATTTTGGGATTGTCCTTCCTCATGCTTGGGGAAAATGCCTGGTGGGCGGGGATGCTCCCCCCACCTGGCTTTGTGTTCATGTAAACTCTTGTGATTTGATTAAGATTATCCTTCCTCATGCTTGGGGGGAAACGTCTGGTGGGCGGGGATGCCCCCCCCACTTGGCTTTGTGCTCATGTAAACTCTTGTGATTTGATTAACATCGTCCTTTCGCATCCTAAGGAAAATGCCTGGTGGGTGAGGATGCCCTCCACCCACCTGGCTTTGTGTTCATGTAAACTCTTGTGATTTGATTGGGGTTGTCCTTCCTCATTCCTAAGGAAACGCCTGGTGGGTGGGGGACGTCCCTCACCTACCTGGCTTTGTGCCCACGTGAAAGTCTTGTGACTTGACATGTGAAAATTTGGGATAAAAGACTCACGTTTGTTCCCAATAAACGGCTTCTGCTCATTTCACTGAACAGTTGTCCACTTTCTTTCTTTCTCTTTCTTCCTCTTTATATCTATGCCTCCATCTTGCTTTTTTAATGTCTGTCCCTACTACAGAATCGGCTTCTGCACTAGACAGAGTCCAGTCTCTTTCTTCCCTTCTATTCTCCCAGAATATTTGCCGACGCTGCCCCACCTTCCAGGGACCCTCAAATCTCTTTTGGGGGGCTGGCTCCCCATAGGACTCTGATAATCGCTAAAGTTCTCTGTAGCAATAAGTTGCTTTTGAACAAGATTTGGCTGGTTAGACAACTCCTGAAAAACAATAAGCTAATGAAGAGGTACTCAACATCACTAATCATTTAGGGAAACGCAAATCAAAGGACAGCTGTTATAAAAATGGTGGAGATGTGGAGAAATCGAAGACTTTGTGCACTGCTGTTAGGAAAGTGACAGTGCAGCTGCTATGGAACATGGAATTGTAGTTTCTCAAAACATTAAAAATAGAATTACCATATGATCTGCAACTTTACTTCTGGGCATATACTCAAAAGAAGCAAAACCAAGGCCTCAAACAGATATTTATACACCCATGTTCATGTCAACATTATTCAAAACAGCCAAAAGGTGCGAACAACCTGTGTGTCCATCAACAGATGAACAGATTAACAAATGTGATATATATACAATGGAATATTATTCAGCTTTAAAAAGGAAATTCTGACACATTACAATATAAATGAAAATTGAAGACATCTTGCCAAGCGAAAGCAGTCACAAAAGGACAAATACTGTATGACTACACTTAAATGAGGTAAGTAGAGTAATCAAATTCAGGTACAGAGAGTAGAATTAGTAGTTGTCAGGAGATTTAGGGAGGGAATAAAAGCTACTGTTTCATGGGTACAGAGTTTGGGAAGCTGAAAAAAAGAATTCCGAAGAAAGACAGTGATAACATGATTGTACAATAATGAGAATGTACTTAATGCCATCACACTGTATACTTAAAAATGGTGAATTTTATGTATGTGTATTTTACCACAAATAAAAGCAAATAAGGCCATATTAAAATCTGTTATTGGCCAGGTGCGGTGGCTCACGCCTATAATCCCAGCACTTTGGGAGGTCAAGGTGAGAGGATTGCCTTAGTCCACAGGTTCGAGAACAGCCTGGGCAACCTGGTGAGACCTCGTCTCTACAATAAATCAAAAAATCAGCCGGGCATATAATGTGCGCCTTAAGTTCCAGCTACTTGGAAGGCTGAGGTGGAAGGATCGCCTGAGCCCAGCAGGATGACAGTTGGGTGGCCATGTGCATGCCACTGCACTCCAGTCTGGGTGATGGAGTGAGACTCCGACTCAAAAAAAAAACAACCTGTTATTAACCTTTGTTTGTGGATCTTTGGAAACTCTTGGTGGAGACTCCACCACCTGACATAATAGTATTTCTCTACACCACTGTTACCAATATTTTTTATAACATGATGCATGTAGAAAGTAAGAATGGCCTGAAGCAAGATTTCTAAAGTTCTTGGGGGTAACAGATTCTTTTGAGCATCTTACAGAATTCTGCTTTAATGCAGGCTGTTCATGGACTCTGAAGCCACTGATGGATTTCAGATGAAGGAACTCTGATGTTCTCTGGGGCAAAGGGGTAAAGGGAGGAAGCTGATTATAAGCAGGCATGCCTACTCTAGGGCCCTGCCTGCCTCAGGCCCACTTGGTTGTTTCAGGACTCAGTATTCTACCATATTCGTAACTCATTCATGGAAAGTGTGCCTCTGTAACACAACAGACCAGATGATAATTAAAAATACTAGAAATACATCCTATATAATGAATAGGCAGTGCAGATGTGACCTATTCCAGGAAACTTTTGTTGATTTCCTAGTCTCAGGAACTTTCCTAGTAAACTTTTGTAGAACTTTGCTTTCATCATAATGTACAACAAATATCCTACAACTTGACTGTGAGGAGAAAATTATCTTAATTTCCCCCAGAACCAGACACAAAGCTGCTCCATATATATGTGCTGAAGGGAGAGAGCCATTCATTTAACAAAATCAAATGGCTCTTTTTTCGTCATATAACTTTAAAATTAGTCTTTGCCATTTTTAAAGGCTTCTCTGATAACAAATTATTATTGGAATAAATGATTTTTCTTCTCTTGCCCATCTGACCAACCTCACGTTATAAAATTTTAGTAAAGGCTTGTAGTGAGGTTTCACATAAAGAAAAAGGGCAAACTTTACTGTTGTGGTAACAACTCTGTTGTAATTAAAGTCCCACTAGTTGCTACAAAAATGTTCAGATTAATAGCAGAACAAAAAGCTGGTCTATGCCCTTTCTCACCAGATTCCAAAATAAGCTAATTTATAACACTGAACAAAGATGACATTTGTGAATTATGTAAATTTTCTGAATTTAAAAAAAGTGCTGTATTTGCTAACTTTTGCTGCCAGCAACATAGCACTACCACCACAACTGTCACAACAACAATCTGTGGACCTTGTCCAAGTCAGAAATACTATACCACTTTCCAACACTAAGCACATAATGTATTTTTATTGGTGACAATAACCATAGCTCTAAAGAAGCATGACATTAAGAACATTTTGAGGCTGGGCACGGTGTCGCACAGCCAAAATCCCAGCACTTTGGGAGGCTGAGGTGAGAGGATTGCCTGAGCCCACATTCTACAGTAAATCAAAAAATCAGCTGGGTGTGGTAGCGTGAGTCTGTAGTTCCAGCTACTTAGAAAGTTG